ATAGCTATTCATTGTAGAACATTCTGTGGAACCTTGATATCTATCCTGATGGGTTTTCTCTAATACATGGATTTATATTGATGTAGAAAAAGAATGAATTCAATCACATCCCAAAGACCCTGCCTAAGAGCACTTTGACCAATAGGGTTCCAATATAATAATTTGAGGAGACATGAACAGTAAAAGTTGAACAACTTTGGATAGATGTCACCTAACCCATGCTCAGAGTACAGACTGTTCACTCAGGCTTTTACTGAGACAGCGGAAAAAAAAACTCATTCAGATTACATTTGCCTTTATTATTACTTAATTTTTCCTAAGAAAAACCAACTTCATCTAGCATTCAATGATACTTGTTTATCAGAACATTCTAAACATTCAAACATATGAGGAAAATAAATACCATTAGCACTGGAATTGTCCCTATATGACTTTATATTTTCTAGGCTTGATTTTTTAGCACACATACAATATGCCTTCTGCATTTAAATGTCTTAACTGCTCTAAGAACATTTACTGGAATAAGTTGTTGTTAAACTGTTTTAAACAGCTTGTATAATATTACCTGTGCCTAACCCAACCAGAAAACTTCTGAAAGTTTAAATGCTGAGCCTTACTCTTACACTTTCACTTTGTCTGACATGCATACTTTTTCAGATGCTATTTAAGTGTGCAAACAACCGAGTCAGTATTATGTAATTAAAACTTATACAGAGTTATTGGGATTTCTTTTTTTTAGGTTACAGTGCTATTTTTTATTTATTATTTATTGTTATTATTATTATTAAAAATTTTCACCTCCTCCCTTTCTCCCATTTCCCTCCCCCTTCCCCCCTGGCCGCGCGCCCCCCCCCCCCGGTCCCCCTCCATCTCCAGTCCAAAAAGCAGTCAGGGTTCCCTGCCCTGTGGGAAGCTCAAGGTCCTCCCCCCTCCTTCCAGGTCTAGGAAGTTGTTTGAGACTAGGTTCTCATAAAGCCAGTACATGCAGTAGAATCAAAACTCAGTGCCATTGTCTTTTGCTTCTCAGTCAACCCTCCTTGTCAGTCCCGTTCAGAGTATCTGATTTGATCACATGCTCCATCAGTCCCAGTCCAGCTGGCCTGGGTGAGTTCCTATTAGATCAGTCCCACCATCACAGTGGGTGGGCGCACCCCTCGCGGTTCTGACTTTCTTGCTCATGTTCTCTTTCCTACTGCTCCTCATAAGGACCTTGTGAGCTCAGTCCAGTATTCCAGTGTGGATCTCTGTCTCAATCTCCGTCCACTGCCAGATGAGGGTTCATATTCATCCTTTTGGGTCTGGGTTACCTAACTCAGGATAGTGTTTTCTATTTCCATCCATTTGCATGCAAAATTCAAGATGTCATTGTTTTTTTACCGCTGAGTAGTACTCTAATGCGTATATATTCCACACTTTCTTTATCCATTTTTTCATTGAGGGGCATCTAGGTTGTTTCCAGGTGCTGGCTATTACAAACAATGCTACTATGAACATAGTTGAACAAATGCTTTTGTAGTATGATAGGGCATCTCTTGGGTATATTCCCAAGAGTGGAATTGTTGGATTCTGGCATAGGTTGATCCCGAATTTCCTGAGAAACCACCACATTGATTTCCAAAGTGGGTGCACAAGTTTGCATTCCCACCAGCAATGCATGAGTGTTCCCCATACTCCACATCCTCTCCAGCAAAAGCTATCATTGGTGTTTTTGACTTTAGCCATTCTGACAGGTGTAAGATGGTATCTCAAAGTTGTTTTGATCACTAAGGAGGTTGAGCATGACCTTAAGTGTCTTTTGGCCATTCGACGTTCTTCAGTTGAGAATTCTCTGTTCAGTTCAGAGCCCCATTTTTAATTGGGTTAATAAGCATTTTAAAGTCTAGTTTCTTGAGTTCTTTATATATTTTGGAGATCAGACCTTTGTTGCAGGGTTTTGAAGATCTTCTCCCAATAAGTTGGTTGCCTTTTTGTCTTAATGACAGTGTTCTTTGCTTTACAGAAGCTTCTCAGTTTTAGGAGGTCCCATTTATTCAATGTTGCCCTTATTGTCTGTGCTACTGGGGTTATATGTAGGAAGTGGTCTCCTGTGCCCATATGTTGTAGACTACTTCCCACTTTCTCTTCTATCAGGATCAGTGTGTTCAGATTGATATTGAGGTCTTTAATCCATTTGGACTTGAGTTTTAATGCATGGTGATAGATATGGATCTATTTTCATTCTTCTACAGGTTGACATCCAGTTCTGCCAACACAATTGTTGAAGATGCGTTCTTTCTTTCATTGTATACTTTTAGCTCCTTTGTCGAAAATCAGGTGTTCATAGGTTTGTGGGTTAATATCCAGGTCTTCTATTCAATTCCCTTGGTCGACTTCTCTGTTTTTATGCCAGTACCAAGCTGTTTTCATTACTGTAGCTCTGTAATAGAGTTTGAAGTCAGGGATGGTAATGCCTCCAGAGGTTCCTTTCTGTTCATGTACTCATGCAACAGACATATTTCATTATTTTTTTAATTGATCCAGTCAGTATAACAGTGTTGAAAAAATGGGCACAGCTGTACAAGCCTCTAAGTTCCAGGATGTGAGAGATATTAGCACGAATTTAAGGTCATTTTTTATTACAAATAAGTTCCAGGTGAACCTATATGTGTTGGTTAGCTAGAGTTCTCTAGAAGAGCAGTGTTGATAGAATGAATATATAAGGGGGGGTTACTACAGAGTCTTAAGGGCTGTGGTCTGTCTAGTCCAACAACAGCTGTCTCCTGACAAAAAGGCCAAGAATCCAGTAGACTTTCAGTCCATGAGGCTGGGCATCATAGTTAGTCTTCAGTCTGTGTTGAAATCCTGAAGATGTAGTTCTAATACCAGCAAAATAATGCCTCAGCAGCAGGATAGATAAACTTGCCAGTAAGACAGTAAGCAGTCAAAAATCTTCCTTCTTCTATGTCCTTTTATGTAGGCTGTCAATATAAGGTGTAGCCCAGGGTTAGTGTAGGTCTTCTGACCTCAAATGATCTATCAAGAAAAATTCTTCACAGGTGTGCCAGATGCTTTAGTTTTAGTTGATTTCAGATGTAGTCAAGTTGATAGCAAATATTAGGCAACACACTGGCTAATAAGAAACATTTTAGAAACCAGCAATATTGGGTGAAGTGATATGTAAGAATGCTGAGACGGTTCCCCCAGCTCAATCCCTTGATCTTTTATCTGGTTTTGTGCTGTTCACTCAGACTAGGACCAAGGGAAACAGGGCTGTATTTGGGTGCTACATCTGCTGCGCAAGTTTGCTTTCTGCTTTTAGTCTTCATACTCCATAGGTCTTGTGTTTCATTTGCTCTGCAATCTGGGACGTTTCCCCCAACAGCTGTTTACTCTTTTGTCTTAACATTTGTGGAAGTTTGTTTGTCATGTCTAACTTAGTAGTAGAGTATACACAAAGTCCACGGTTCTATTCCCAGCACAAAAACAATCAACCAATGAACCATAATAATTACAGCTAAATATAAACATTAAGAACATCAGCTGGAAAACTGATGAATTTGATGAATTGATAACATTAAAAGTGAGGCTTTTAAACAGGCTTTGCTTTTAAACATTTCAAGAATTTGGAGAAATTAAACTGATTAAATACAATTCTTGCCTCAAAATAGCATTAAGGACGTAAAAAGGCTCAGGAAAAAATATAATTTTATGATAGGTATTTGAGTAGTGTTACTTTAAAAAAAAAAAAACAAAACTCCCCCTTAAGAACCTTGCTTCAGGAGTTGGGGATTTAGCTCAGGATTCCTGGGTTTGACCCTCAGTTCTGGGGAAAAAGGAACCAAGATTTATTTCCAAAATTGTTGGGGTACACAAAAGTAGTATATCAGTACCTCTCTCTGGTAAAATGTGCTAAACTCTGCTGATATCATAAATACTAAAGTGAAGCTATGTAGTACTATGGTACCCAAAAAGCTTGAGCAGTTATGCTGGCACATCAACATATATTTTAAAAGTAAAACAAGTGATAGTATGCACATTATTTATAAAACAGAAAAACCAAGTTAAAATTGTATATATGTGTGTGTGTCAGAGTAAAATTGGTGGATGGTGTCAGGATAGATTAGTAAAGAAGCAGACAAAAACACTTCTATGGGAGGTAAATAAAACGACAACTATTTTGAAACTGTTGAGGCTGAGAAGCGAAAGGAGGAAGGGTGAGTAGCAAGGACTGTCAGAAACAAAATTCAAAAGGTAACTATCCCAAAGCCAAACTGAAGATGCAAGTCTAAGAAGGCATCTTAGATGTGCTCAAGTGACTAATAAGTTAGTGTGTGTGTGTGTGTGTGTGTGTGTGTGTGTGTGTGTGTGTGTGTATCAGTGTGTAGGGAGATCCTAGTGTTGTGAATTTGAGGAAGTCTTCTGGGGTATGAAAACATGATTCATGGTTGCCATAATCAAGCTGTAATTTTTTTCCGGAAGTAAATATATACTTGGGATTTATAACTAAAATTTCACCCCAAATATAACTTAAAATTTGATAGCAGAAAAATCAAATGATATCTACAATGCTTCCATAATGATATTGGTATCAGTTTTGCTATCTTAAGTTAGTTACATTTGGGGAAATGTCATAAGGTCACAACACTTTAATAATGTGCTATTTTTTCACATGGTAAATGTCAAAAGCAAGTTAAGTAGGAAAAAGGCAGCTTTTTGGTATCTGAAGACATCCTTTCCTATTCTCATGAACTGACAAAATACACAATAACAAGGATCTCATTCCATTTATATGAGGTACTTGTTTCCATTTCTTTTGGTCATTTAGAAAGATTTTGATGCTAAAGAAAAACTCCAGTTTTGTTCACTAGATTATTCCTGATTTCTGTATATTGATATTCTGCAAATTCACATGAAATTACAATAATTTGACCTAATTAAAAATGTAATTTATAATAGCTTATGCAGTACTCTTTACCACTTAATCACATGATAAATAAATGATAGAAAAATAATCTCCTGGGTTAAAAATAGCTTTATTTAGCATACTAAAAACAGGGAAAAATAAGAAAACTGGATCAAGTATAAACATAAAAAGTTAAATACCATAATTTAATGTAAACCAAACATTTGAAAATGTGAAGTATTGTAATAAAACACATGCTATTTACATAGAACTGAGTTAAAACTAACTTTGTAGTTACTGGATCAGATCATCAGTCCTGAAGAAGTTATCATTAGCAATCAACAAATATAACATCTCCATTTTAATTGGTCAATAGGAAAAGAAGCAATCATTTTGTTTATTTAAAACATATAGAATTTACTGGGATATTTAGAGCAGCAAGCCTAAATTACCAATTCAAGGATTCTAGACATAAGCACTGCAGGTTGAGGTTTGAAAATCTTTCTACTTGAGGAACCATGAGCAGATCCTTTTATATAATATAGACTATTTAATTCCATTTACTCACTGTTTAGAAAGGTATTAAGTATATTCTGCAAAAATAAATCTTCATTAAAAATGATCAAAGGCAAATGCAGTATCAATCAAGTAGGAAAGGCAAAGCATAAAAATATACATTATTCCAGATAAGCCCCTTAATTATAATAAATGTTAAGAAACTCAATTTATAAAACCAGAAGGACTAGCAAAGGGCATTTTAAAAGTATGAAACCTAAAGTATTCTCAAACACAACAAAAAATGTAAAATCAAATTTCATGAAGAAAAGTATTTTGATTATTCTATCATTATCATGGAAAAGTTATCATGAAATTTATGGTTAATGCAACTATTATTTACTATGAAGTAGTGTTTTCTCTGACCAAAAATCTAAATTGCTGTCATTAAACTGATCAGTGGATCAATTTAAACATTTAGTTTTTGTTCCAAGAACCATCACTCATTCTTATACTTCAGTGTGGCAAATGTTAAATCTAATATTCAGATTTCAAAATGTAAAATCACGTTACAAGAACAAAAATCTAACTTAATGACCATATGTCTTGTGTTTTTGTCTAATTTAAAATTTTGGCTTCTGGATCCCCCTTTACATTCTTTGGGAAATCTAGACTCTAAAGAACTTTTGTTTTTTGAGATTTATATCTATCAATACTTAGCATCTTAGAAATGAACTGAAAAATTAAAACCCTAGCTTATCTAAAAATTAAAAAAAATATGCCAATACAGGTGTTTAATTTTTATGAAAAATAGCTATATTTTCTTTTTTAAAAAGATGTGTGGGAAGACTGTATTTTTTCCATTTTTAAATTCTGTTTTGAGAGACTTAGAATAAAGAAATAAATAATGTCTTCAGATAGAATGAAAATACTTTGATTGCACCGATCCCCTGAAAGGCCATCAGGAACTCTAAGGGTCTGTGACCACATTTGAAAATTACTGGTCTCATCTAAAGCCTAATATTAGTGTTGCAAAACACAAACACACACACACAAATCCCCACAAAAATAGCTTCAATTTTCAGTTATAAACAATCTATAAATCATCTTGCACATTGAATCAAACACCTATAACTTCATACTTAATTAGAAAGTAAAGATCATATAGTCAGAAAAAATTTCAAAGCAATATTTTTGTGGTGAGACCATTATAAAGATACAATATTTTTTTAATCCATCAGACCTATTAACTAATTTCTGTACTTTGGTGTAATTTCCAGCATTTCTCCATCTTATGCTGCATTGGCAAATGTACTTAAATTGGCACAGCTTTTATATAGACCAGATTATATCACGTACATATTATATTATACCCCGTACATTCAGAGGAAAACATTAGTTATTTATGGAGCAGACTGCTCTATTTGTCATTATGTGAAAGCTCTAGTCAGTTCTAGGGAAACAGGAAGAAATGTCCCCCTGGAGTGCAATACTAATGCTATAGTCTTACATTTGAATAGTTCTTCACATTTAACAAATTACTGGTACATACACCATGTCACTTGACCTTTTCTAAAATTCTTCTGAAATAGTTTATTTTGGCAGTTCATTCACAACCTGCTCCCTCCACTCCATGGGAAAGACATAAAAAAACTACTGCATCTAAAAAAATTAATAGAATATAAAATAAACAACAACAATAATGAGATATATGTGGGATGAAACTAGATTTAGTGTGCATCTACTATAGCAGATACTGGGTAAATATATTCTATCAATAGAGTATCAACACAAATGTCACAGCTTATTATTGAATGGAAAATTGTATACTAATAATTTTGAGAATAAGATTTCAGCCTGTATAAAACATTAAGAATATAATTCAAAAATTGGTTTTACCTAATCATTCAAGTGCATGAAGAGTTTATTGTAGAAATGAGAAAATAAAAATTAGTGTAAAAGAAAAAATATTACGCCACCACACTATGATCAAAGGAGTGGTCAGTATCTACTCCCTGTTTTAACACATACATTATTTCATTACCTAGAAATTCTTGCAAACAAGATAATAATATGAGTGGCATGAAACATTCAAAGATGGTAGCAAATTTTAATGAGACAGTGTGTGGTAATCAGCCAAGAAGAAAAATCCTGGTACAACATGAGCTAAATGCCACTAATGGTCAATGATTTCCTTGTTGTATACTATAATCGCTGTCTCACTCTCCCTCTGTGAGATGTCTCTAAAATTGAGAATGAATTCATGTACATTTTTTTTCCTTTCAAGAAAGAATTGGGAGTTTAACCAACATCAACAATAGTTAGAAAACATTGCATGTTGCTGACTATCACATAAACTGTTGATTCCATTTGCCTTTTCAATTTTGGCAAGTAATGCTGTCTTTATGGGTGGTGTAATGGAAATTAGTTAATTTTACAAGAGTTAACCACAAACTGAATGATGCACATGTGGCTATAAGCATATGTGTATGGTATCACAGTACTTACAGACCTTCACTGGCAGGTCTTTCCTTCATGTTTCTTCTTGTAAAAATGAACATGGATAATGCTTTTATAATAAGAAACAAAACTAAAGATAAATCAACCAGTTAATGTAAAGTGGTATGCTGTAAGAATCCAATAAAATAAGTCAATGCACATTTATGTAGTGATAAAGTGCTAGAAAGTTCTTCCATTAGTATTTTAGAAATGATTTGAGTAAAAAGATATTTGCAGCTTCATTTGATGGTGGTGACCACAGGCACCATAGCAATGGCACTAGCTGAGCTGGAGTTTACTATGTCCTCATATTCTGGTGGTGGGTCTAAATGAGGTTCTGTTTCACTCCTTCTCAAGTTCACCTGGCCAGTGGCTTCCTCATAGGTTGGTGGGGGATCACAGTTGGAAAGGCGAGTAGAGACAGAATCGGAGCGCCCAACAACGTATTCCAAAAAGCCTGGAGACAATCCACTGTTATCAAAGACTTCATCTGGTGGAGGAGGTGGTGTAATAATGTTAAGATGTTGAGGGAAAGGAATGTGATTTTCAGTTACTGTCTGTCTCCGAGTTTTGTTTCTTAGAAAGCATCTCCAGATTAAAAAGATGACAAGGAGAATAATGAAGAGGCCAAAGATTAATGGAAAAGTAAGATAAAATTGAAACCAGTCACTTCCTCTATTGGTCTCTCCTTGTTGTGCTTTTGTGTAGGTGCTCCAAAACTCTTTCTGAAAATACAAAACAAAATAATAGGAAAAAATCAGTATGGTCATAAGACAGTGAATATGAACAAATATTTATTCTGATAAATGACAAAAACCTAGAATCAGATGTATTGGTTCAAGTGGTATAGCCTTATTTTCCATACCAGCAAACAACAAATATAGAAGTCCCTCATTAGAATGGAGTTATTCAAATAAGTGCTTGTGCAAGGATGAGGACCTGAGTTCAAACCCTAGCACACATATAAACAAAAAAAATGTACATAGACCACAGAATACACATATACAAAGTAAAAGACAATTAAGAACTGAGTTTTTCTCTTTTTCAGATAATAACAAATCATCGAATAAGCCAAGAGTTGGGGGGAGTGCTTGCAATATAGATATGCATATAAATGTAAGGATGTACACAGATGTGATTATGACCTGTCACTCTCGATGTCCAAATCTGTGATTCTCATTATATAAGCCCCATCATGATTAATAATATGTGATGGTTCAGGTTATTGTAGGCTTTTAGTACCCAAGCATTCAGCAGACAAAACACCTTGTTTTCTAATGGCTCTGTTTGAGAGACATAACACATCCCTCCTCATCTCCCTTACCAAATGCAATGCTTTATACAGAGATGCTAACTGAAAAAAATATATGCTCACAAAAGGCATTAAGGTAGTCTAGAAATTGTGTTACTGTACTCTGGAACCTAGACTTTAAACTCTAAATTAAAAAAAATTAGTATTTGAAGTATTCAATGTTTGTTGGAATATATTAGAAGATATAAAGGAAGATGGTTGGTGGTTGGCACCTGCCTTCAATCCCAACACTTGAGCTCGAGTTCAAGGCCAGCCTGGTCTCCAAAGCTCCAAGATAGCCAGGGCTGTTACAAAGAGAAACCCTGTCTCGATATACGAAACAAAATAAAACAAACCAAAAAGATATTAAAGGAAACTTTTTGTAATTATAATTAATTTTTTCTTGAGCCTTAATTTATTTGCCTGCAAAGTGGGATAATGCAAGTTGTCTAAACATTAAGTGAGATAGCACATACAACACATCTAATTGAGTTTCTGGTACATAAATTTTCAATAGTCATGATTATAATTGATTTTTATGTCTAGTTATGCTTTTGCTTCACTCTATCACTTGATACAGGAGCCACCTTTTAATGTCATTAATTCCCTCCCTTGTCCTTATTTTCTTCTTTTTATGTGCGTTTTTGTGTTAGTCACTTTAGTGCTGTCCTTGAGAAGAAATTGAAAGAAAAAGCATTTAAAAGGAGGAAAGAATCTTTTTACTTTTGTTTTGAGAGCCTTCAATTCACTGTCACTGACTATTTTTTCTGGACCTGTGCTGATGCGCATGTCATCATAATGACAGGCATGGCACTAGAGAATTTCTCACTTTATGGCCCTGAGAAGCAAATATGGATTGAGGAAGGCACCTATCACAAATTATAGCTCCCAAGAATATGCCCATCCAAGAGACCTACCTCTTCCTATGGAGCTCTACCTCCTAAAAGTTTCACCATTTTTCGATAATATGAACTCAGCAACAGATCATTCCATTGATTAGGTCAGAACCCTGATGATCCAGTCACTTCTTAAAACAATTTTATCTGGTATGTGTGTGTGTACCCATGCCACAACAAACATGTGAAGTCAGACGACAATTTTCAGAAGTCAGTTCTCTCCTATGTGAGTCCCGGGAATTGAATTCAGGTCAGAACTGAATTCTGGGCAGCAAGTGCCTTTATCCATTGAGTCATCTCACTGTCCCCTAATCGCATCTTTATGATTGGCTCTATCAGCTGAGTATTAAGTGTTCAACATATGAACCTTCTGAGAGATACTTCATATCCAAACTGTAACTTTTTTGCTCTGATGTGTTCAGTATGCTACACATATCTGGGATTTCAAACTCAGGTATACCATGGGTTTATTGCACTTACACAAAAAAACAAATGTTCCAAAGAAAGGTTCTGGGCTCTAAAACTGGATGGTTTACAATTTTATATCAATATAACTTTTAAAGTACTTGTAGACATTTTGTCTTGTTGACTGTGTCCTTTGCTTTACAGAAGCTTTTCGGTCTCAGGAGGTCCCATTTATTGTTTCTCTCAGTGTCTGTGCTGCTGCGGTTATGTTTAGGAAGTGGTCTCTTGAGCCAATGTGTTCAAGTGTACTTCCCACTTTCTCTTCTATAAGGTTCAGTGTGGCTGGCTTTATGTTGAGGTCTTTGATCCATTTGGACTTGAGTTTTGTGCATGGTGATAGATATAGTTAAAGGATGCTCAATCGTTCTACAAGGACATGTGCTCAACTATGTTCATAGCAGCATTGTTTGTCAACTATGTTCATAGCAGCATTGTTTGTCATAGCAAGAACCTGGAAATAACCTAAATGCCTCTCGACCAAAGAATGGGTAAGGAAAATGTGGTACATTTACACAATGGAGAAAATGTGGTACATTTACACAATGGAGAACTACATACCAGAAACAAAACTGACATCTTGAATTTTGCAGGAAAATGTATGGAGCTAGAAAACATCATTTTGAGTGAGGTAACCCAGACACAGAAAGACAAGTATCACATGTACTCACTCGTAAGTGGCTTTTAAACATAAAGCAAAGAAAGTCAGCCCACAATTCACAATCCCTGAGAATTTAGACAACAATGAGGACACTATGGGAAACTTACATAGATCTAATATACATGGGATGTAGAAAAAGACAAGATCTCCTGAGTCAAATTGGGAGCATGGAGACTTTGGGGGAGGGTTGAAGAGGAGGGGAGCAGAGAAAAATGTAGAGCTCAATAAAAGTCATTTAAAAAGTATTTGTGTACATAATAATTATTCAAAATAATAACTTCTCTAAGGTGCAAGGCTATTGCAAACATTTGTGTTTCTAAGACTAAAATGAATGCATTATGAAAATATTATATATTTGTAAAATGTGTAAATATTCATAATTGCATATTCATAAAATCAGAAAGGAGAGTGGAAAGATAGCTCAGTGCTTAGAAGTATTTGTTGATCTTACAGAGGATGTGGGCTTGGTTACTGTTATTCATATGGTGGGTTTAAACCATCCCTGACTCTAGTTTCAGGGTACCTGTACTTTCTTCTGAACTCTGAGGGCATCAGACATATACATGGAGTGCACACATGCATAAAGGGAAAACATTCATATACATAAAATAAAATACATGAATCTAAGACAGATTTTTTTTTTTTTTTAAATCATGAGGCCGTGCCACTAGTGGTCATATGTGAGAGGCCTACACTGCCATCTGAGGTCCTGGTAACATCCAGATCCATGCTGCTGCCAATGGTCATGACTGCACCTGATGTCCTACTGTGGCTGGAGTCTCTGTTGATGCTCTAGGCCTGTGTTACCACTAAAGGCCATACAGTGTTTGTGGTCTGTACTGTAGCCTGAGCCTATGTTGACATCTGTGGGTCCTACTACATCCAGGGGCCATACTAATCTGGGTGACCTGTACTGTCACCTGAGGCCAAGTTGATGTTGTTGTCTCTGAGGGCCATGTCTAGGTCCATGGTCCTACTGCAGCTGCTGGGGTCTGTGCTGTCACCAGAAAAACTGTGGAAGCCCATGACCCATGCTCCCACTGGCTGTAAAGAGCATTTTTGAAGTGATATAGATGATTGCAGAAGCACAGTTGAAAGGGACTGTGCTTCCAGAAAGAACCTGGAAGGCTTCTGTTACAAATCCCTACCCTGCCAATCAACCCCCCTCCAAAGGAGGGTAACACCTTAAATAGGAAGCCATTGAAGAGAACTGTTAGGAAGTGTGATGAGGATGCTGAGGTTGGTTCTCCACAATTGATAGTTTCTGGCAGGGGTGAGAAACGATAATGACTCAGTCTATTAAAGTGGCAGGCCACTGAGAGTTTGACCACATTCCAGTGAGTGTATGGATAACACAAATTGGACTTGCTATACTTTTTTAAATTTTACCTTTTATTTTGGGGGGTATGTCACAAGAGAGTGGGTGTGGACATGAAAAAACTGAAAAATGAGTATGATCAGACTACGTGAAATAAAATTTCCAAAGAATCAATAAAAATATTTTTAAAAATTCAGAAGGTTGGAAACAAGGCTCAGCAGTTTAGAGCACTTGATGTCTTTCCTGAGGACTTGAATTTAGTTCCTAGCAACCCGTAACAGCTCACAATCATCCATAACTCCAATTCCAGGAGATCCATCACCTTCTTCCAGCCTCCTTGAGTACTTTACAACAAGTTGTTCCCAGATATACATGCAGGAAAGACAGTTAAGACACATAAAATGAAAATGAGTAATAAATAAATAATAGAAAATTAGAAGGGACTCTCAGGGTTTTTATTGCTATGAAGAAACACCATAATCATGGCAACTCTTCTAAATGATAATGTTTAACTGAGATGTCTTGCTTATGCTTTCAGAAGTTTAGTCCATTACCATCATGGTGGGGAAGTATGGCAATACACAGGCAGAAATGGGGCTAGGGGAGCAGCTGAGAGTCTTACATCTTGTAGGCAATATGAGTTGACTCTCGCATGAGTAAAGCTTAAGCAAATGAAACCTCAAAGCCTACCCCCATAGTGACATAGTTCCTTCAACAAGACCACACCTCCCAAAACTGTCACTTCCTATGAACTTATGGGGGCCAAATACATTCAAACTACCAAGACAAGGCTCAGTAGTTAAGAGCCTTGATGCTCTTCCAGAGGACTTGAATTCAGTTCCCAGCAACCCATGACAGCTCACAGTAATCTATACCTCCAATTCCAGGAGATCCCATCACCTTATACTGGCCCCCTTCTGTAGTGCATACAGTGGTTCCCAGACAGACACACAGGCAAGTTAGTTAAGACACAAAAAACAAAATAAATAAAAAATAATAGCAGAAAATAAGGAGGGACTCAACAAGGTTTAAAGAAACAAGATTAGAAAAAGTATACCAGCTGGGAATGGGGATATATACCTTTAGTCCCAGAACCC